ATTTTCAATCGGATATTATACCAGTTTACCAGAAACGTCACTAGAATTTTAAGAGGATCAAACGTACAGAGCAGGTGAAGAACAAACATGAAAAAGATACCACACGGATTGTATAGTTTTACCCCAATCGGGATGCACCTTCGCAACAAATCACTGATAAAGCACCAAGCTGGACTAAGCAGTTTGGTTTGGTTTGGTTTCTTTGTAGTTTTTCCCCTTTTTGATTTTGTGTTTATTTATTTATTTATCTATCTATTTATCTATTTTAATTCGTGTATCTTGAAGACGAGCCACTTTTACCGGTAAGCTGAAGGTGAATTGATTAAGTGTAGCGTTTATCAATCCATCAATCAATCAATCAATTCGATAATCGATCAATCAATCGATTCGATAATCAGCCAATCAATCGTGTTAAGCAGAGAATCTGCTCTCTATAAACGGCAGTCATTCACTCTCCAGGACTAGAAAAATTATCACCGCTCTTTAATAAGTTTACCAATTCAATGGGAGCATGTCTCTCCAACAAAACGCTGTGAGTAAAGAATTGGAGCCAGCAATACGATCCTACATGAAATCGGTTGCTATGGCAAGGATGTACAATGCTTATTAGAGAAACTTTTTGATGTGTCCTCGTATGACGATATAAAAGGACATTTATGATTGTGGACTTAGTCGTGTGTACGTTAAATGTATTCAACCATTTATACCAACATTTACTGGATCATTCCTGATAAGATGAAAATATGTGTCAACAGAAGGATAAAACTAAATTGTGGACATTTTTATGTCCCTCTGCTGAAAAGTACTTTCAGTTTTGAAACAAAATTTCGACATCTACTCAATGTTGATGTTTCTAAGACACAATACGGTATGTATACCATAACAGAAGGAGAGTTACGAATGTAATAGAAGGATTCCTTATATACTGTCTGCTTCTCAGTCACGACCAATGTTAACTTTGATTTGATATTTGGTACCTTTGGTACATATGCTGGTATCAGATATATTTGTAATGAGATTTCCGCTGCAGAAATTTGCACAATAACTTAAAAAGATTTTACGGACTGAGGTCAGAATGTCCTTACTACAGTTTCGTCGTCGCCATCAATTTTGAAATGTCCCCTCCGGACCACGTGCACCAATGATTAAACATTGCTCGGGTGTCTGTGGCGCCTACACCCGCACTCCAGGTAGGGAAGTACAGGTTCCACCAGCCACCTGTTAGTAAATAATATGGAAAGGAGAAAAAAAGTACTCCGGGAATTTATACAGAAAGATTATATATCAAATCTATTACGTCATAGTATGTATATTTCTAATATTCAGTAAGTGGCTTGCAATAGCAGTGTGTCTAAAAGGGGTTTGGTGAAATATAATGACCGGTTTATCACATTGACGTCAAACTAAAAACGAACCCTCGTGACACTTAAAGCCCTCTGTAATGAGTCCCGAGGTCCGTTTACCTGTTTAGATCTTGTTGGTGTTTCTGGCTGTAGTGGGTATATCGCACCAGTAAACCAATGGCGTGTCCCATTTATTATTGTAGAATGACTATCGTAGGAAGGATAATATGATTAAACAACCTCTGAAAAATATCGCTTTATCTACAACTCGTTAAGTTGTGGTTAAAATAGATGGGATCAACCTACGTTTCTCTCGATTTAAGATTTCTTTCTATATCAATATTTATAGGACCATTTAAGTTACGTTAAAGTGTAGTTTTGACCTTGGTATAGACAAACAATATCATCCGTATATATATATATATATATATCATCCGTATATATATATATATATATATATATATATATATCAAAAGAGAACAAAATATGTCCTTTGATAGCTTATGATTACAGTGATGGGAAGAAATGAACATAGATGTAATGTTTACCAGTATACGACTACAGAATCATGGAAAATAACCCGTCCGTTAACGGATGCTTTATCAACTTGAAGTAATTGTTTGTAAACCCTTAAATACCATGTCTATATAGCATGCATACACGAAAATACTTCACACATAACAGCATCCTGTAGTTTGATCGTCTCCACACAGAGGTCACATGCTGTCAGGTACAAGTGTATATTTGCATGCATGGATGTGATATCTCGAGTACATGTTGACAGACCCAGGCGCATCATCTCGGGTACATATTGATAGACTCACGTGTGGTATCTGGGGTACATGTTGACAGACCCAGGCGCATCATCTCGGGTACATATTGATAGACTCACGTGTGGTATCTGGGGTACATGTTGACAGACCCAGGCGCATCATCTCGGGTACATATTGATAGACTCACGTGTGTGTATCTGGGGTACATGTTGACAGACCCAGGCGCATCATCTCGGGTACATATTGATAGACTCACGTGTGATATCTGAGGTACATGTTGACAGAACCAGGCTCATCATCTCGGGTACATATTGATAGACTCATGTGTGATATCTGGGGTACATGTTGACAGACCCGGGCGCATCATCTCGCGTACGTATTGATAGACTCACGTGTGATATCTGGGGTACATGTTAACAGTCACCTGTAATATCTTGGGTACATGTTGACAAACTCATGTGTGATATCTCGGGTAGATATTGACAGTCACGGGTGACATTTCGGGTACATTTTTACAGACTCACATGTGACATCTTATGAAGATGTTGACAGACACACAAGTGATATCTCAGTTACACGTGAACAGAATAACGCGTAATATCTTGGGAACATGCTGACGGACCCAGATACATCCTCTCGGTGTATTATATCGGTACATATTGATTATTGATTTTATCGTATAGGAAAATGGATAACTATTGATGTTGTATGGCATTCCTATAGTGTAACTTTACCAAAGTCATCTGTGTTACACGTGTATGAACTGCCAACAGGGTTAAAATGTTGTAAGTTATGTTAGCAAATTGAGATTTCTTTCCTTATAACAGTAAATGTTGTTTATAATGATTTGTTAAACTAGATGTCAACTAGATAATACACAATAAAACATGAAGCGCGTGAACTTGCTTTTATCCAGTTGGCATTCACACAGCACGTAGATGCCAGCTTAAAATAGTTCAATGCTTAAAACGACATAATTTTCCGGAACTTCTGCATTTTTTTGCTTCGTCCTTAGGATTTCAATAATCCTATCTTACGCTTAAACCACTCCAGGGAATAGTTCCATCAATCTTACCTTAGAGGGAGATGAAAATTTTAAAGAAGCTTTATACCCAAACATACTTAGTTTCACTGGTGTTTTCGACGGATTTCAACTTCCGAGGGTGAAATTATACAAAATTTGTTAAATACACAAATTAAAAAACACATTTGCCCAAATGACTAACGAAAATATGTGAATAGTCCATTAGATAGGACAGAAGCTTTGTCACACTATAAGGATTCTGTCCTGTTCCAATATGCTCTTAAACATGCGCGTGTCCTGTGAGACATCATGCATATTTAACTTGTCATGACATATTACTTTTGATGACGTCATAATTGGTAATAAAATACACGTCATGTTGATAACATAGCATACCAGTCATATAATGCCATAAACAGTCATCTTTCAACATTTGATAACCTACAGACGGGAAAATGAAAGGAATAAAAATATAATTTGAAATATTATAACTAATAATTATCATTTAAGAGCGGTATGCAAATTTTGATAAAATATGATCTTTCCTGTATGCATGGAGTTCGGTATGAAAGATTCATCAAAAGAATAAACTTATCCTCTTTACAACGCCGTGAAAAATTAACACCTTCAATCTATCGAATTTTAATTTAATGTAAAATGGGATACTATGTTTAACGTAATATATTTTTTGTGAAATATGAAATTACATTTGTATATGAGCTAGTGAAATGTGTGTGTGTGTGTGTTTGTTTTTTGTTTTTTTGTTTGTTTTTTTTTTTGTGTTTTTTTGTTTTTTGTTTTTTTTACTATAGGACGCTGGATATCCATGAAAGTAGTTTATTCTTAGAATCAAGCAACTGAATATTTAAAATATCGCACCTACACACGTCATAAAGACAGACAGGCGTCTGCAATATCTCTGTTAAAAACTACAGTAAACTACAAACTCATCTCCACACTCAAGCAGATCTACAAAGTCTAGGTTGTAATAAATTTTATATCGTATTGTTGTGTATGTTTTCCGTCTATGTATACCTACAATTTTTATTGAAATTTTGAGACATGAAACTAAGTGTTTCCGCGTCATGACAATACGACAAGTTCGACAAAGTGTATCCCCCTCATTAAATCACGTATCTAAGGGGGAACTCTTTTTACTGGTTACGTTTATAGTTTATTGTCTACAATAAAAATAAGTGAGAAAAGTGTAATGTATCGTCTGTCGTTCTCATCCTTCATTTTGAGTAAATTATCAGTCAGTAGATTCAATTGAACACAAACTAAGCAAATGATAAGTTATAACTTCAATAAACATGACACTATCTAAATTTTTAACGAATCGTTGAAGTTAACTCATCAACCACGACTTCCGTTGAATTTTAAATCATTTCCAGTAACGCATATGTAGTACTAAATATAACTAACCACGAATAAAAAAAATACAAACAGACCCTAAAATATCGATTAGAAAAAATACCCTAGTACTAACAAAAACGTTCCTGTGGTACTTTTTGTATTCGTTTCTAACTGTTGATTAACGTGTACGGTAAACATATATCCGTAGCACATCACACATGTATACAGTGCACATGTATTGTTCCGGAAAAAAAATTAAAATAACTCTCTCGAGTCACTCGTTCATTTAAATACATGTGTATATGGGATTAACCTCGATAGTGACACACACGGTAGACACATTCAGATGTTTCGCGGTATTAACCACGATAACATAGTATAAGCTGATATCGCCTCGTCTACCTACATGTTGCGGCTGCTGCAACTAATTGTCTCCCCCTGATTCTGGTGAAAAGCGCTGTCTGCCGATGTACCCACAATGCCATATTTAGCGTAATTGACGACTTGGTGTGAAACGATCTGGCACAGTAGTAGGCAGAGGGCTACCGTTCATGGATAATGTATGGAATACGTAACAGTTACACTGAGCCGTGATATTGAGTGAAATAATGACAGTTCTACGAAGGGTATGCATTTATAATTCTTCTGCATGTACGTGGACTGATTTTAGTCCTCGATAAAATGTGTTTTCGATGGACAGTGTGTAAAATTCGTCTGCTAAAAAATGGCCATGGTTGCCAGTGAAAGTGAGGGAGTATAGGATTTCACCAGGCAACATCTCTCCTGAATATGCATAAGTATATATACACATATCACAGGGTGATAATTGAAGTATAGGAACCATCTTTATGTTATCAATATGATGTTCATCGATTTCTGATACTCCACCGTTCTGTTGTGGATTTTTACTGTTAGATGATTCTGTTAAAAGACCTTTCTATAAGGGTCTTGCAGGTAAGAAGGTGTAACCAGTATCATCACACATTTTGAACGAGAAATTACATGTTAAATATAGTAATTTTCTGATACTGTTACTGATATTCTCGTAGGCTAACTTGTGTTAAGATTATTAATTGATGTTATACATTGTATGTAAACATCGCTAGCCAGCACGTTGCATGTTTAATCTGAGACGTAAACCATTAATAAGCCTTAATTTTCATGTACTGATGTATACATGTTATAGCCTAATGCTCTACTACTTCCTTAGATAATATTAGTAATAAAGGTTTTTAATACTAGTGTTACTGTTATGTTAGGTTTTATGTCCATGATCTAAGGTGTTGTGTGCTACATGGCTTTGAACCCTGTTCAGGCTATTTAAATACATAATGACTGTTGAAGCTAGTAGATTGTAAATTGCCAATCATTGACAGAAGGATAAACAAATATTCTTACTAATGGAATTGAGTTGCTTCACCTTTCTTCAGTTTCTATTTGCTGTGAAGCACCATGAAAATCTTTAAATGTGTTGTTGCATTTCTGAAAGATGGAGTACAGTGTATTATCCAATAGACATTTAACTGAGGAAAGAGTTAAGCTGAAGTTATTTAGACAATACTGCATGGAATTCCAATGTAAAGAAAAAAATGTTAAACTGGCATGATATACCAAGAGCAAAGTCACTTGAGATTACAAAGGAGCAGAAGAAAAACAGAAATCATTAATGGTTCTTACCCCTTCTTACTTCATCAAATTCATTTGTAGAGTTTATTAACTAATTCAGGCAGATCTAGATTGTTCTACCTATTTAGAAGTAAAGGCTTCATATGTTTAAATATTGTACAACTGTTTTTGCAATAACTGCAATTCTTGATAAACATTCTGGCCAACCATCTGGTTCCCACTTTGCAAGTTTGGAAATTGTAAATTTGAAAAAGTTCAAAAATATGCATTTACTACAAATGCAAAATATAATAGTTCTGAAAGATTAAAAATTATATGTTAATCCTGTACATCTTTTAGTCCTAGCTTGATGCCTGCATCTTGAATGTAAAGGAGTAGCACGATGGAGTGTCTTGTGTAGAAAGGAATTTCATGCACTATTGTATTAAAATTTAAAAAAAAAAATAGATGATGCTGAAATACATAGTAACTCCATAATGTATCCTTTTGTGTTTTTTTTTTAGTAAATTTAGAATTGTTTGTTCTTGTGTTAATCAATCAAGATTTACCTTGTTGTGAAAATAACACTGGTGTGTCTCACTAAGTATCCTTGCTGTGTTTGCTTGATCATGGCTGACATGATCTCCACCAACTCAATCAGCCAAAATAGCTAATTACAAAATTAGAACAAAAATAACAGTCTAGAACTATTCTTCACTTGAAGAATGGCACTTGCTTAGGCTATAGTGGGTATGCTGCTAGTCGTTCTTGACCCTGTGAATAATAGATTATGTATCTAGAAGGCAAATTACACTTGATTATCAGCAGTTTGTGTGAACTCACAATAGTTTGATTACTTTACGATGTTTCATTGCTGTTTTACAAAAATCAGTAGTCTCTCTTTTTCAAATTATTGAAATTCTGTTGTGTTTTTTATTGTATTGCTGTATTGTATAAATATTCATTCTTTAGGTTCTGGCATATGCTTATTCATTATAGATAAGGTTATGTTATGATACACAGTAAAAAAATTACAGAAAGTAACAGGCATGGTAATATTAGTGTCAGTAGGTACGTATGTAGCTTCTGTAATTAGCTTTCCTCTATGTGTTATGTCTATGAATATTTTGCACATGTTAATGGCCAGGCTACTGTAAGTCATAACTCATAGAAAATCTTACAATAAACAATTATCAATATTTATATATAATTTACATTGTGTAGGAAAGCAAGACCGATGGTTGTGATTCTGTATGATAAAAATCAATTCTTGCAATGTTTGAAAAAATATTTCTTATTCTAGTCAGTTTTTGACAAATCACGAATTTATACCCAAGGTACTGACATATGTGCAGAAAAATCCTGGTTAAATATCTTTTAGAAAGGATAAAGAGCTTTTTTCTTCTTGTGGGAATCTCTTACTACAATTTGTCAAAACTTCAAAGTAAAGAAAAACCTCAAGTCTTATGCCACAACATTTATTTAGCAAAATATTGTGATATTTCATTATTTGTTCAAACATCTAGGAAAACCTGTTGAGAAATATTCATGAAAAAAAAAGAAACAAGGACCTTGAAATATCAATGTGTCTGGCGGTTAGTGAGCACTAGGTAGTAAATGAAATGACTGGCATAGTACATACATGTATAATGGTCTTGGTATTGTGGGCATTGATTTTCAGTACACAGATATTTGAGTCCTTATGCCTTCCAAGGGGACTTGTTCACATTTTAAGAACCTATATTATAAATATTTGTAGTAATGGGACACAAAATCGTTCTGAAACTTATTCAGGAGATTATGTCTGAATAAAGCTTTGAGGTGGTTAAGTTTTATATTTTCGGTTGCCATTTCAAAATGAAGGTACCTGGCTGAGGGAAAAATTTTAACAGGAGTGTCATGAAGGGCAATGAATTCAAATTGACATTGATCCTTTATTCTAGAAAACAAAGCCAATGAATTGACCACTGTTAAGGCAAAAGTATACATATACAATTGTATAACATGTTAAAACTAATTATGGAAGTCATTACTCAAACCGTCATCACCAACATCACAACTATAGATCAATTTATGAAAATTCATATTCATGTCATAGCCATTGGTTACCACACAAATGGTATCATTGAAATGGGACAGCTACTATAAACGATATTTACAAAGTTTTCATGTCAGGAAATTAGTCTACCTAAAATCTAGTCCCTCACCACAGTATAAGCAACAACTGTCATATGTCATCCCTGATAACTATATTATCTAGATATGTTTGGACTGCATGATTCCTTGATATGTCTTTAGTAATGAAAATATTCAAAATTTGTGAATGCCAACAAACAGATTAGATTTGATGTCCATTTGGAAAATTAGCAGGTATTTTGGTAGCTTCAAGTGTTGACAGAAGCTAGAAACGAGGTCAATAGCAAGCTGGAATAACTTGTGGAATATAATTTTCAAATTCTGGAGATTGCAAATTAACCCAGTATCCCAGTATGAAAAAAGTGGAGCCTGAAAATGGAATTAATATTTCACACTTAGATAGCTATAATTTGTGTATAATACTTCAAACCTTATTTTCAAAATACATGAAAGAACAATATTCATTATAAGATCGAATGTCAAGACAAGCTAAAATGAAACCTACCAGGTATGTCAAAGTTAGACAGCTCTGCTCTATTGCACAGATATGGAAATTATTGTTTACACAGAGTTAGTGGATATTGGCTTCTGTTAATGTTCTATTTTGCAAAATAGTTTGAGATGTAAGATTTTTACCCAGTACTAATTATTGTTGTTGATTACCTGGTACATATTTGCTGTATGTGTACTGGAAGCCTTCCTTCAATAAAACATCTAATTAGCTACATATAACTGCAGAAGTATAATAATTCCAGCATCAGTATTGTGCTGCAATGTGGCCTTATTAACACAATTTTCATAAATATTTCTATTTGAGAAAACATGAAGATTTAGCATCAATTTAGTAATTAGTTTCTAATTAATAGTTAATATCTCTGTATCGCCAAAAAATCCATATTTCAGTACGAGATATAATGTGGTGTTTTTTCCTTGGAGCAGCAACACCTTTTCAGTACATAGTTATATACACAGGACTGTGTCTATCCAATTAACAACGATTAATGAATCCCCAGAGAAAGCCGAGTCCCATTGCTAGGTTTAGTGTAGATTCTACAAGTATTGATGACTGCTTTGCGTACAATCCTGCTGTAGATACTGATAAGTAAGTAGCAGTCATACATAATATATACTAATACAAGTACCATGCATATAAATATTTATATTCAATGTTTCAGCCTGCAAATTGGAAAATGAAAAAAAAAAACCTGTTACATGATGGTTTAAATTAAGAAGTATATAATCCAGTTATAAATACTTGTTATAATATCATAATTACTGGGTCTAAAGGTAGTTTAGGTTGATCTCTGTGCTCTTACAGTAACTGTAATTAATGTGTGGCTTTAAAATTGAATCAAGTTCTAGACAATAGCATAACACTGTCTTGTTACATAAGGTAGTGTCTGCGGTAGAAAGAAAATTACTCAAATCAAATCTCACGACTGTTTCTGATGAACTGTTCGATGATCATTTGTCAGATGATCAGTACAGAATGTGTAATGGAAAAAAACCATATATTGTTTATGTGTACCTGATTTCTTGCAATCCCTGAGGTTTGTTTTAACATTTATTTTGCTGTAAAGAGAAAGTCATGTTTTTACCATGTGAAATAGCTCACATTATTGTACTAGTTATCAGTGCATGTACTTGTGGTTGCTGGTTGCCAGCATAAACATCCTATAGCTGGTATTCATCCACACTGTTAAACCAACAATTTTTTCAGCATACAATAGGTTGATATCACAACACTGCCAGAATTATCTTCTGACCAACCAGCTGTTTTAAAACTTAGAGAGAACACTTGTAAGAATTAACAATCTTTAAACTTTGAATTTGTAATCTTGGAAAATAGACTGCATGCCTGTTATATGGTAATCAAGTTCTGAATCCCATAGTTTTGCAATGACGGATCTGGGTATAGATTACTCCACTTATAATCAATAATAGAAAGAAAATTGAGAATTGCTGACTATTACCTGTATTTTCTTGTTGTCTGTTACAGGTCTAAGGGAAACATTAAAGTTGTGATAAAAGAATTTGTGAAAAATTCATGATGGATGTTTTGTACAGACGGTTCACCATGTCAGCAGGAATGAAGCCCCTTGCCCTTGGCTTTCTGTCCATGGCCTTACTGGACATGTTACCACTCTCTGAGGCTCAGTCTGTGACAACAATGGCTACAGATAATGTCACAGAAGTACCAGCAGCATGTACCATGGATGCTGAGCCCTGTAAACCGGGTATATTTTTCCCATTGTGGACACCAACAAGGAATCTCAGCGCTGGTGATAAAGCTGCCAGAGCCATTGTTTATTTTGTAGCTATGATTTATATGTTTTTGGGAGTCTCCATTATTGCTGACAGATTTATGTCTGCTATTGAAGTTATCACTTCAAAGGAGAAGGATGTTGTAATTCGAAGACCAGATGGAAGCACACATGTGGTCAATGTCCGAGTTTGGAATGAAACAGTGTCAAACTTGACCCTTATGGCTCTCGGTTCATCAGCACCAGAAATTCTTCTATCTGTTATAGAAATTTGTGGTAAAAATTTTGAAGCTGGAGACTTAGGTCCAAGTACCATTGTAGGTAGTGCTGCTTTTAACTTATTTGTCATTACAGCCATTTGTGTGTCTTCTATTCCTGCGGGTGACAAGCGTACCATCAAACATTTACGAGTATTCTTCATTACTGCAAGTTGGAGTATATTTGCTTACTTATGGATGTATTTCATTTTGTCCGTTTCATCATATGGAGTAGTAGAAGTATGGGAAGCAGTAATCACCTTTATCTTCTTTCCCATAACTGTCCTTACTGCATATATTGCAGACATCAAATTTCTACCACACAAATTTTTGTCCAAAAAGTACAGGGAAAGTAGGCAGAAAGGAGTAGTAATTCAGGCAGAAGGAGACACAGAAATGAACCATGTGGATGATGTAGTCTTTAGAGATATCAGGAATGTTGCTGATGTGAAGGAGCTCATGGCTTATGAACAGCACAGGAAGGAGTACATGGATATTATGCGTAATCTCCGTAAGAAGAATCCAAACACTGACATGAAGACCTTAGAAGAGATGGCTGAGCTTGAAGCAATCAACAAAGGACCAAAAAGTAGGGCGTTTTACCGTATTCAGGCAACAAGGAAGCTTACTGGAGGTGGAAAAGTGATCAAGAAGGCCAAGATTGATAGGAGAGCTAGTGTAGAAGATGTCAAGGTAGAAGTACGTGATCAGTTCACCACAAAAGTCTTCTTTGACCCTGGTCATTACACAGTAATGGAAAACATCGGAACTTTCTTCCTGACTGTTACCAGGGAGGGTGGTGATCTCAGCAAGACCATGTACGTAGATTACAAAACTGAAGATGGTTCGGCCAGTGGAGGTGCAGATTATGAATATGCCGAAGGAACCCTTGTCTTCTACCCTCACGAAATCCACAAGCAGATTCCAGTCAGCATCATTGATGATGAAATCTTTGAGGAAGATGAACACTTCTATGTCCGCCTCAGCAATGTTCGCTTAGGCGATTCCCAGGGCATGTTTGACACAGGTTCTTCCCAGATGAAGGTCAAGCTTGGAACACCTTTTGTAGCCACTGTTATGATTTTGGATGATGATCACCCTGGAATATTCCTCTTTGATGAAAAAATGGTTGTTGTTCCTGAGGCCATCGGACAAACTGACATCAAGGTTACTCGCTCATCTGGTGCCAGAGGTACGGTGAAGATTCCTTTCAAAACTGTGGATGGATCAGCAAAGGCAGGAAAGGATTATGAACCAGTCACCGGATTTATAATCTTTGTCAACGATCAGACTGAGTAAGTATCATTTGCATGTTTTGTTTTCATTAAAACAAACTTTTTCATTGGATTTGAATTTTTTCCTTGGATGTAAATTATCCTTGTTAAGTGACTTTTGTGTGATGTTTGCATGATATGTAAAGAAATTTTTTGTTGAAAGTTTCTACAATGACACTGAACAAACTATAGGTATAAAGTGCATAGTAGGTCTTCCCAAAACTCTGGATGTTGTCTCAATTCATCCACTATGACAGATTAGGATATTAATGAGACAAGCATTAACAATGATGGTGGCAAGAGGTAAAAGTTAAACATTTTGTTAATACATTGCTTAATTGATTTTTCCAATTCAAGTGCAATCCAACATTAAATTGAAAACCACCTCTTTAGGTGCAGTGAGGGGCATAAAGAAGGTTTTAATTTTTTTTAATGACAGCCAAAACAAAAAAGATTGAATCTTGACCAAGGTATTGTTCATTAGAATGAATTCTCTCATACAGCAGTGAACATTCTTGACAACAAATTGGTGAGATCACAATATAGGCTCCAGCAGTGTAAGGACATATTCTTGCTCCTTAGTATGGGGTTACATATGAAGCAATCAAGGCTATTTGTATGCATGTTCATCTCAAAATCTCCCATAGTTCATTATGACTGAATTTTTTAACTCCTTTATAGTTATGATATCAAAATTTCAATTTTATAAGTTTGCAGTCCAAAGCAAATCATGCATGTTGTAGGACGTCCACACTAGGAAATCATATATATCAACTTGAATATTGGGGCCCTGAAAATATGTACATGTATAAATAAGGTACTGTGTCTTCTTTTTGGAAAAATTGATTTTCAACTGAGTGAAACAGAATTGATTTTTCAACCAAGCTCCTAGTTCTGAATGTTTGCAGATATATCTCAAGTTTCGCAGTATTGATCCTTTTTTGGTAGTGCTTGAAATAGTTAATTGTCAAACAAAGCATATTATTGTAGACAGTTTGTGGTACTGAGTATTGATGAACAGTAAAAGCAGGAATCTGGTAAAATTTTATCAACAAACATGTATATGTAAATACCATATGTATGGAAGGTAAATCATCATTCATTCGTAAATGGAAATTCAATTACATTAAACCTACCTAAAAGTTTATTGCAACCATATTCTGAGATTGTTTGTAAGTTAAAAGCCCAGTGTAGGATTTCCCAACATAAACACTTACTGCTGATGATTTGAAAAAGACATACAAGATAAAAGCACTTTTCTTTTCAATACAAATTTAGATTTATATAAATTAGAGCCGAACGATGAATTGCATGGCATTATACAACTAGCTGCATTGATATTAAGATGTTCTCCTTTCAGAAAAAATAAGTTATTTCCTTTGTTTTGTATACAAGTGTGTGATGTCCCTTTATTTGCCTCTCCATCTTCCAGTGCTTTCCTAACTTTAAAATTTTTTAAAGGACATTAATTCAGGTAAACTAGGAAAGGTTATATTACCAGACAGAGGGAAGTTTGCCAGGCCATATGTTTTTGTACTATTTCATACACATACGCTATAAGTAAAAACCAAGATAGCAAACCACAGACACATTGAATTTCTATTTTATTTCAGTTTAATGCAGTGTAAAGACATCGTCCGATACAGGTCTTTATAGGTTTAGTTTCAAGCTTTTTTTCCACCCAAAAGATATTATATACATTGTATTGGTAATATTATTGAATATTATTGAATTAATATATACTTTTATCTAGGTTCTCTGTCATCATCGAAGAAGCAATCACCAATGCTCCTTTGTAGCTTCTGGTTCAACGACCTGCTCATAGATCCTCTATTGCAAACTCAGCATGTTTTGACCTTTCCAACAGACTGTCTGGGCCATATTAATTGGTACAAAATGTAACTTAATCTTCAAAGCCATCAGTATGATGTTGACCAGTGAACCAATGTGTCTGATGATTCTGTGCATTAAACTTACCTGTTTACAAGAGTAAGAGACATTGCAAAATCAATCAAATGATATAGAAGTTTGGCTAGAACTCTCTCACCACCACTTCTCTTAACACTTTTCTTTGTGGCATTTTTAACTACCAGGCCTTTATCTGCAATCCTGCTATGAAATATGATTGAAGTTTAACTTCATAAAGCCCAAGGTTCATGAAACTTCAATATGAAATCATCTTGACATCTGTATACAAGAATCAGAAACAACGATACAAGCACTGTATTCTATACACAATAGCAATATCACTTTTTACATCCAATGCAATCAAAGGCTTGAATAGGCAATAAAAAATTTGTTTTGATTAGAAAAACGGTTAATACTGCTAAAAAATTATCAAAGCATTACTGGACATTTGGTCTTTTACTTTTTACTCTTACCTGACTGACCTAAATTTTATCGGACATATGCGGCAGTCTTGTGTAGTTTGGCAAATAATGGTCTTCACATCTCAAAAATGTTTCGCTGCATTCAAGGAGGAAAAAAAGAGTCAAAATCACTTTTCCTATTCTTCCATGTTTATTTCAGAAATTGTTCAAGATGGCTTGATTAAACTCTATATGAGTTATCTCATTTTTTTGGGTAGTAAAAACAGTAAAAATGAGATTTGCTGTCTAACTTTGCACAAAAGAAAATTGTAGTGCTCAAATAAAACTAAATTTTCAGATCTGTAAATTTATTTTTGACCTGTAGAAATTTTTGATTACCTGCCCAAATGACCTGTAAAGATTTTTAAAGTTTGACACACACTGAGAAGAAATACATTCAAGCTCCAGTAGGGTTTGAAAACCTGGCTGATGAAATAGAACCATGACAGGGGCTTTTATTTGTATCAGCATGATTAGGAATGAGGAAGGCAGGATAATCAAGCAGTAAGAACATCATTTTACACAGCAACACTACTTTATTAACTAATTTCTCAGAAATGTCATTTTACAGAATTTAAATGACATTCATGAAATGGCACACTGTGTGGGGATTAATGTTCTATTTTAATTAGAATGTTTTAAAACACAATCTTCATTGGATAGCATTTACACAAGAAAGAAATAAAACTAAAAACATGATCTTTTAAACAGACATGTATCTTGGTGATTTTTTTCCTAATCTAAGATTTTTACATCATTTTTCCCAAATAGATAGTCATATTGAGACCTATTCCCAAAATAGAAAAAAGATGGAAAAAAATGCTGCAATTGCAACAGAGTTCACTTTATATTTTAGCAATGATGATTATAGGACACACTAAGAAAGCACTGTGTTCTGATCAATTTAGATGTGTTTAGGTTAAATAGGTTGCTGAAACATAGTCTAAAATCTGTCACACCAGCAAGACAGCTTTGGAATAAAACATTTACGTAATGATCACATGACCTTGATCAATACCATTGATTCCAGTCAACATCTGGGAGTCTAAAGCCGGCAGTGATCTCCATCTGTTACAGGGCTCTAACACTAACAAACAAACCTCATTGTACTGAATCATTTCTTCTAGGATGTTGAACAGCTGGTGGTCTGTGTGCAAGGATATTAGAATAGAGTTACATGCCTGATACCTGTAGTCATGTTAGAAACACTAGAAATCAGTTTTGTTGGGTTTACATGCGTGTAGTTCACTTGATATACCTCACCTGTCTTCTCTTTGTTAAACACAAGTAATGATGGTTTAGTGAATAAGAACAAATCCTGATATACACAAAGCTGGGGTGAAGAAAATTGCCCTCTAAAAGTGTTTGTTTTGAATAGAGTGGGTGTTAACAGTAAGTCAACAATGTAAAGAGTTTTTGTAACTCCGACAAGGTTAGGGAGAAATTCTAAATAGCAAATATAAAAGAGGTTTCGACCAGGCTCCCCACAGTGGCCTAGAGAACACATCTATTAAACAGGCAATGCAAGGAGTTTGGACAAGAAAGGTCTACAAATGTCTGGGACACCTTTAAACAAGCAATATTTAAAATTTAAGCAGGCTCCTTTACAAAGGTTAGAGACACTTCCAAATAGGTATGGGATTGGATATCTCTGTAAAACATTTGGAAAACATCTCCAAATGGACAATTATAATGCAGAATTCTGGTAGTATAAAGGGAGGAGGGATACACCCAAATAGGCAGTGTACCTGGGGTAAGGGATTTTAGGGACGCTTCACAAAAGGTGAAGGATCTTTTTCAAATAAGCAACTTAAGGGGGATTTGATGGCTTCTGTCATGTCTTGGGCAACATGTACTGAGGTAGAAAATATCTCCTCATTCCAGTCGGGACTTTGATCTCTTTGTGCATGTAAGGAGAAGCTCAGAATATAAGAACCAATAAAAATATTTCGCTTGATAGAGTACATTAAGCATTGTATCTAGACTATATCCTGATGCAATTTCAAAAAGTACATCATGACACATGATGCATTGCCTCTCTAATTGATTTTGAGAGGCAGACTTTCAGTTGTTGCCTCACCCCACTGTCCTCTTGGACTCCTGGGAGGAAATGTTGATTACGTTATATTAACCTTCTTGTGATGTGCTTGTTCATGTTTTCTATACCTTTTGACAGATATCATCGTCTTTGTTTTCTGGGGTATGGTAAACATTTCTCATAATCAGATTATATGATATCACTGGAATTTTCTAAACAAAGTAAGGCATCCTTTTGGTTTGCTTATTAGATTTGAGCTTTTTTATATTTTGTCATTAGATGAATTCTATGATTTAGTATTTCTAGAATATTTAAAAATCTCTTCAGGCATTTCATGGTTTTTATCCAATACTGACATGTAGCAAGATCCTAAAAAAAATTACTGAAAAGCCTTTGAAATGATCCAAGCAATAAAACTAGGATGTACTGAAAGTGATCCCTTGTTTTGTTTGTAATTTTTTTTTCGTTATCAATACACAATTACATGGCTATAATCTGTTTTGATGAAAAATTACTCTCCATTTAGTGTTGAACTATTAAAGTTGAATGTTTCATGTTGTGAGGTTATATTGTTCTAGGATCGTGATGTGTAGCTCCCTGCAGTCATTTGACTT